TATAAAGCTTTTTTTTCTTTTTTGAGAATTGTGTTGTCTTTCTTTATACACTTTTAATATGATATAAGACACAGCAGCAGGACAATTTCTGTTCGGATGAATTTTACTGAGAGCCTGACTAAAATATTCAGCATATGTGGTTGTATTTGTTCAGAGATTATTGAACATCCAACATGATCCAAAAAATGTTTCTGTGTAACCTGAACCTTTTTTAATGCACTCTATTTGGGACATGTTTTGCCAGGAACATTTGAATATAAACTGACTGAACTATAAACTGCAGTTCACCAAATATTCCCTTAGGATGGTAACTAGAAGAAGTAGTTTTTGTATGGCATTTCTATTAGTGTGTCTCACTGTGTCTTTCGGGCACAGTAATAAACTGCTGTGTCTTCAGTTTTCAAACTGTTCATCTGTAGATAGAGTTTACTGCTGGGATCATCTCTGGAGATGGTGAATCTACCCTGGACTGACTGGGAGTAAAAGGCAGAATAACTATAACTTGAAGTCTCTATGAAGGCAATCCACTCCAGTCCTTTTCCAGGAGCCTGTCTAACCCAGACCATAGCGTTGCTGCTGAATGTGAGTCCAGAGGCTGTGCAGGTCAATCTGTGAGATTCTCCTGGCCTTTTAATGACTGGTTCAGATTCTGTCAGCGTCTGACTATCAGTACCTGGTAGAAATTTGAAAAATGTGTTGAATTTAAGTTAGATCAGAAAAGGAACATGTATATCAAAACTGAGGTAATAGAAAATCTTCACCTGCCCAGCAAAGAGCTAAAAGCAGCAGTCCTGTCCTGTAGTGCATCATGTTGGGTTTTTTTTTTTTGTTCTCTACCATCCTCTGTGCTCATTTAAGAAGTGTGACAGTGTCTAAGTTTTGCATACACGCCTCCTCACTGGAAACACAGTACTGAGAAAGAACTGACTTTGTTTGTTGTTAAACTAAATTGTTTGTTTCTGCAAATTTGTCACTGCAGAACAGAAAATGAAAATATAAACAAGCACATTCAATGAACCCAGTTTGTTTCTGCAGTCAAAATGTGTTTTGAGGTGACTTTTGTGGTTATTTTTTCCCCCCACTTCACCAGCCCTCTGTCACTGCAAACAGCTGGTGAGTTTGGTTCTATCTGGAGATCTCTTCCTCTTCTTCATTACCTGCAACAGGTTTTTGCTTAAACAGGATCAACAGAGTTCTCTGTCTGATAAACTCTGAACCTGGTCTGAATGAAGCATAATCAAAAACTGGAAACCAGCCCCTAATAATCCAAAACCTTTTGAAATTAGCTTTGGTTGATCAGGATCATCTTCTCTTGCTCTTCTGTGGCATTTTCAGCCCAGGTGCTATTTCTAAATGTCTTGTTACAACTTCCATTATGTCTTATTGTAGCTGTAGCCTTTGTAATGCTTCCAAATCTCCTCCATTGTGTAAAAACAGCTGATTCAAGTCACAGAGGGACAAATCAGGTTAATAGTGCAGGTGCTGAACAAAGATTATGTTGGTATTCTTTGATATTCTGCTCAGCTGACACAAAGCCTCTGTTAAAAACTGACTTGTAAGATAAGATATTGAACCAATCTGCCCATTTAATGACGCTGTCTTGCTGGTAGAGACACCGAACTTGTTCTTCAGTTAAGTTAAGTAAGTTTGAGTCACTACTAATCCACTCAAATCCTTGGAAGCTGTTTTTTTGATTGGGAAAAGTTTTTTTCCCAAGGTGTTTAGTATAATTGTATTGTGTCACATTTTTACTACTCAAAGCAAGGGCATCATTTAGTTTCACTATGGTGTGGAGCCTGTACAGAAACTAAAAGTCAGCAATGGTCACTGTGAGTTTTCAGTCTTGTACTGAACTTAGAAACTATATTTTGTTCTAAAAACTTCCAAGATCTTCCCTGATCCATTGCATTTTCAGAGATTCAAGACTAAATTTAAGCATGCCAATTTGGAATTATTACTTTTAAGTATTAAGTTTGATAGAGCTGTATGTGATTGATTGAATTAACTGAATCCATTTGTAACCTTGTTCCTTGTTCTGTTGAACTGCAGGTTCAGAACCATGCCACCCAACATAAGTGAGGTAGGAGAAATAACAACACCATGTCTAAGCTAAAAAAAATCAGTTTTACTTTTATTTTGCATATTAATGGGTGTAACTGGCATTGAAACTGATACTATCAATTATTTAGTGGGGTCTAATAAGAACTGTAGAGTGTCTGACAAGAAGTGTAGAGTATAATTTTATTGTAGCAGTTTGTAGTTGAGTTTGTAGACCAACTCAAACAATTCAACAGCCACAGTGGATCTCCAGTCCAGTCCTGATTTGTCACAGTATGTAGGAGTAACACAGTCAGAATTCAAGTGTGAATTCAAGTGTGTTTTTTACAGTGTCAGTTTAGCATCATTACATAATATTGAAATGATGAGTAATAGACATTTTCTCATCTGTTTTACAGTAAAATTTCTGTGACATGTAGACAACAAAGTCATTTTTCAGGTGAAGAGAAAAACCATAAGTCAGTGAGATCCCTTTAGTAGTTGGTGTTTTTGTACAGCTCTTCCTCTGTTTTCAGTCACTGTGCTTTCACGGGTACAGAAGTAAACAGCAGAATCTTCTGCTGTCAAACTCTTGATCTCAAGATACTGTCTGCTGCTGGAGTCTTCTTCAGTCATGACAAAACGGCTTTGGAAAGTACTGCCATAGATAGCTGAGTTTTCTCCTGTATCCATTCTACCGATCCACTCCAGACTTCTCCCCGGCCTCTGTCGTATCCAGTGCAAATAGTTCTCTGTTAGGTATAGCCAGATATGATGCATGACATCTTCACCCTCTCTCCAGGTCTCTTCACCTCAGAGGTAGACTGCTCTAGTTTGATCTCACTCCAAACTCCTGCAAACACAAGAAAAAAAAAGTAACCAACATAAATCAGAGTATTGTCTTTATGTTTTAAATAATACACTGTTTTCTTACCGTGGAAACATATAATGAATAATAAACTCCAGGATTTATACATTCCATAATTTAGACCACTTTATAATCAGAATGTTGTGCAGTTAAAAAGTGTCCAAAGCTGTTCTGTAAAGAAACTAAATGAGAATTGATGAAGATGTGTTTATATTTGAGCAAAACTTTGCATAGACCTCCCTCTGCAGGAGCCATTTGGTATTTTTGGAGAAGGTAATGGTTTACAAAATCATCAATAGAAAAAAAGTCAGTCCACTTTTTGTATTGTTTAACTGTTTTCACTGGGATTTATTGCAGCTTCTCTTCTCAAACAAATGTTTTCTAATGAAGAAATACTGTTGCACTTTAACCAGAATTAACACATTCAAGTGACGGTGGTTTGTCCTTAGCCTTTAACTTTAAATAGCAGTCAAGCTTGATGGGGTATATTGTGGCTGAGTATGTTCTCTTGGGCATAGTTTTTCTAAACCTCTGATTTCACATATCAAGACAAAGAATAACCAGACATGTGGCACTCTCATTATAATCAACATCAGATTTCTGATTTTTTTTTCAAAGGAAGCTTCTAATCTTCTCACAGAATTCAACATTTTTAAAGCTAACCATTAAGAAGTCTTCTATCATCTCACTGACACACAAGTATAAATATTTATTCTTTAATGTTAATGAAGACAACACTAGTCATAGTTTATAGTAATTTTACATCATGAATGTTATATCATGCAGGGGACAGAAGTAAAGAGCAGAATCTTCTGCTGTCCTGCAATCAATTTTAAGTTACTGTCCTCTGGAGTTTTCTTTAATCATGATTAAATGACTTTGAAAACAACTGCCATAGATGGGAGAGTTTATGTTCTGTCTGCTCCATAGGTCTTTATTGTATTCAGCAAATATTGTAACCTGTCTGGTCCAAGACCAGGATTTATTTGACAAATAAAATGAGAACTACTAATGCTAGGTTTATCTAGGAGCAAAAGTTAAACCTTAAACCTCCTTCTTCATCAATCATTTGGTTTTCAGAAACTCCCAAGAATTATTATTATTGTGCTATTTTTTTTTAACTGAAGAGATTCACTTTGTTTAACATACAAAAGACAGTTTCTACAGACGCTTTTAACTGATTTATTTATTCACACATGGTTTTAAGATATGATTTCTTAATTATTTTACTCTCTTTTACAAGTTTCCAAAATGTATGCACTAATCTTAAATCTTGAAGCACTTTTTTGTAAAATGAGTATTATTGGCAAACAAAGACACATTTCTTGTCATTATAATTATGAAATTTAGAAAAATATTTTCAGACTGAATAAATCTGCTGTCTTTGTACTTATCTTTGTTATTATATCAAGAAACCTCTTTAATATCCTTATGGGTCTGACAACTCATTCTTTGGTTGGTCTACAGCTGTTTGGTGTTATTGTGTTTCTCTGGCAAAGTAATACACAGAGGTGTTATCAGGTTGCACATTTTGTACATTAAGACTGTATTGCCGGAAGAGTCTAAGCCGATACTGAACTTGTTCTTTAATGAATCTTTGTATGTGGCCCATCCAACACCTGCACTTCCAATCCACTCCAGTCTTTCCCTGCAAGCTGTCTGATCCAAGCTGTCCAGTAGGTGCTAACAGAATAAGTGACCTGACAGTTGATGGTAGGATATTAACAAAGCTCTGAAGTCTCAGAGGCTGACTGTGCCAACTGTTCACACTTTACACCTGTAAACAGAAAGGCATATTTCATAGAAATAAACCATCAAATTTCTGCTGCTAAAAAAAGAGGGCTGGTTGTGAAAGCTCTGTTGGGGTCATATTAAGGCAAGATAGAACAAAAATGTTGTATGAAAAGCAACAACTTATTTATAGCCTTAAGAAGAGGAAGTGAAAGAAAAAACAGAAGAGCAGCTGCACACATGAACATTTCTGCATATTTACATGCATGTCGTGCTTTCCTTTCTCCTCATTTTGCATGTTTTACTGCCACCTGGAGGTTTTTTAGTATTTACTTTCTTTGAAAGGGTATTTGGCATAGTAATATACAATAGAGTCATACTGCTGGACTTTACAGACCTTCAACTATTCAGTATTTCTTTTGTGTTTATGAGTGTAAATCCACTGAAGGCTCCTTCCAACCCAAGCATCTCAGCTCTCAGTCCTCTTTTGAATTGGAAAAAGTACATTATGGGCCAGTTGTTTGTTCCAAGATCTTAATATGGAAATCATTTATATGATTAATAAATATTTTCTGTTTACACTTCATATTGAGAATATTGAAATTAGTTTTCCAGTGAAGAGAAAACCCATAAGTCAGTTGAGGTTACCTTTAGTAGTTGTATTTTTGTACAAGCTGTTCTTCTGTTTTTAGTCACTGTGCTTTTCACGGTACAGAAGTAAACAGCAGAATCTTCTGCTGTCAGGACTCTTAATCTCAAGATACTGACTCTGCTGCTGGAGTCTTCTTCAGTCATGAGAAACGAGCTTTGGAAAGTACTGCATACGAAGCTAGTTATTGCTCCTGTATCCATTACCGATCCACTCCAGAGCTTCTCCCCGGCCTCTGTCGTATCCATGAAATTAGTTATTGTTAGGTATAAGCCAGTATGATGCATGACATCTTCACTCTCTCTCCAGGTCTTTTCACCTCAGAGGGTAGACTGCTCCTAGTTTGATCTCACTCCAAACTCCTGCAGAATACAAAGAAAAAGAAAAAGTAACCAGTTACATTCAAATTCAGAGTATTGTCTTCTTGTTTTAAAGAATAATCACTGTTTTCTTACCGTGGAAACATACAATGAATAATAAACTCCAGGAAGTAATATAATCCATAATTTAGAACACTTTA